TTAACTCATGGCTCATGGCCCCTTCCCAGAAGCATCTACCTCTCCCTCCCCCTCCTCTCTCCATCCCCCTGTCCCTCCACCTCTGCTTCCATCATCACCCATCCTTCATGCTGCCTCCTCTTGTAAGGACCATTGTGATGACATTGGGCCCATCTGGATCATCCATGATAAGGTCTCATCTCAAGATCTTTATCTTAATTACATCTGCAAAGTCCCTCCTCTATACTATTTAAGGTAACAGTCACAGGTTCCAGGGATTAGGATGTGGATGTCTTCAGAGGCCATTATTTTGCCCACTATAATTGGATATGATGGGTCAAGGGTGTAATAGATAATTATGTAGGGAGATGTAATAAAGGAATACTGGAAATAAGGAATGGGTAACATTATCAGAGTAAAGTTAGAGAAATAACTACGCAGCTGTAAAGAAGAAGAACCTCATACCGTGTGGGACAGTATGGAAGGACCTGGAGAATATTATGCTAAGCAAAATAAGCCAGGCAGAGAAAGACAAACATCACATGATCTCACTTATATGTGTAATCTAAGGAACTTAATAAACTGATGGACAGAAATGATTCAATGACATGGAAGCATGGATCAGACTGATGAATCTCAGAGGGATGGAGGAGGGCGGGTAGGTGGAGGGGGAGAGATTAACCAAAAAACTAATATTCATATATGCACAACCCAAGGACACGGACAATGGTGTGGAGAGGGACTGGGGAGGGTCATTGGGGGGAAAAGGGGACATCTGTAATATTTTGAACAAAAAAATAAAAAATAAATTTAAAAAAGTTTATACTCAGCTAATTGCTGCTATAACTCTAAGAATGAAGTCATGCACCTGGATTTTTCTAAAAGGCTTCCTAATATGGATGAATGATCTAATTGCAAATAATACAACTATGTAAGTCTTACATATGCCTCTGTTGCAGATGGTTGCTTTGACGACCCACAATGAACTACACCTCCCAGAACTCATGCCCTTGATCAGGGCTTGGTCATGGGGCTAGCTTTGGCCAAAGGGACATCAACAAGCAAGATGCAAGCAGGAGCTTGTACAATGGGGTATGTCCTTTTAGATCATTCATTCTTGGGACCCTCCCTCTCAGAACCCAGCATCCGGGTGATGAGAAGCCCAACCTCACCACTAAGAAAGGGTATATGGAAGAGAACTGAGGATCCGGCCAACAGCCCAGCTCCCAGCCCCAGCAAGGACCACCTTGCCAGCCGTGTGAGTGGGCTACCTTGGCAGTGAGCCTGCCAGCCTGAGGTAAATATCCTGTGGAGCACAAGCTGTCCCTACTGAGCCCTGTCCAAATCAAGGAGCCATGAACAAACAAATAATGGTTGTTCTTTTTGGCTACCAAGGTGATTTTTTTTCTGTTGGGGGAGGGGGCAAGAAAGATAAGGGAGGAATCGGGTGTTATGCAAAAAGAGATCATAAAAATGGCCTCTTTTTTCCTCTTTCTTCTTTCTGATACATCTACCTCTCATTAAATATGTATTAGTTAGCCATTGCTAAGTAACACATTACCCCTAAAATATGAGACTTAAAACAACAAACACTTATTGTCTCAAAGATTCTGGGTCAGGGACGCAGGCAGGGCTTAGCTGGCCCAGGGTCTCTCACAGGCTGTAGTCAAAGCATCGGCTAGGGTAGTCATCCAAGACTGCAGAGGGAAGGGTCTGCTTCTAAGCTCATGAATATGGCCGTGGTGGGATTCAGGTCCACTGGCTTCTGGCCAGAGGCACCTGTCTCTTGCCGTGTGGGCCTCTTAGTAGGGCAGCTCCCAAAAGGGAAGCCAATGGCCTTGTTGAGTATAACCACCCTGCCGACCTAGACCAGTCAGGCTTCAGGTAAGAGAAACAATCTTCTTTCTTATCTTTATTTTGGGTCTCCCTGTTACAATGATTTCACCTTTACCTTAATACAAAACTATCTGACTTTTCATTTTTATCTATGAAATATAAGTACACACATTAAACTTTTTATGTTTAAAAAAATCAATGAAATCTAAATTTTGGGTGCAATAATTCAATGATAATGAATGCTATGTAATAAAGCTATTCTGTACTTAGTATAGCCCTGGACCAAAATGATACTACAATGGATTCTTAGAAACTACAATAAAGTGGATACACAGTCATTTTAGAACCAATAAAATAAACATATGGCTGTACCTTTTAAGGACAAACAACATTCTTTCTATAATAATAGGAATAGTTATCACATATCTGGATCTTTTTGTCAATAACTGAAACTTGGCCAAAGGCTGTGTGAGGGTCTCAGAAAGGAAAGAGGCAAACATGAGAAAGCCCCACCATCACTGATCCAGAGACATCAGCTCAGCTGGGCAAAGGCAAAGTTAATGGACCAGAAGTCCCTGCAAACAGTCTGCCCTCAACAGGTCCCAAATGGTCCAGGATGAAGGGAGTAAATGAGAATATGAAGCCATTTTAAACCAGGTCTTTTTATTTTTTTCTGTGCAGCAACACTCTGGGTGGTCTGGGAGGATCGTTTCACATCCATCTACATTCAGTTTCAGCTACAGAGCCCTTAGCCAGCCAACTAAAACTGCTTTTGAAGGAGTCTGGTCATTTTCTTCATCTCATCAGCTCTGCCCCCTGTAAATGTCATAAAGTGTGGATGTAGGGTCCGGGCAACACCCAGAACAGTCCTCTCCAGGGTCCAATGCAACTGTGACCCTTCACTTCTACCTGTCACAACTGCTTTGTGCCATTTCGCTTGGCCACTGCTAGATCCATACATGACTCTCCAAATATCTAGACTTGCTGGTGTCAGGCACATAGTAAGTCCCAGAGCGAAGGAATAAGTAAGGCTGGCATGATCCAGGCTCTTAGGGAGATCACAGTCTTGAAGGTAAGACATTCCCCTGTAACTCTCAGTGCCTTTGATACTGAATGTCAAAGGGAAGATTAACAAATAGACCAGCTCTGCTCCAAGGCCTCAGAGGTGAGCTGATGCAGGTGCTTTTACACTGCAACCTAAAGATGAGTAAAGTAGCTAGGTAGGGACGTGAAGCATGAGGGAAGGCACGTGCTATGTCGGGAGAAGCAAATACTAGCATCGCTAGAGTAAAAATGGCAAAGAAGTGGGGTACTTAGGAGACTCAGTGATGTTTCCATACAAAGGCAGGAGAAGAGGTGAAGGAGGAAAAGGAGGCAAGAATGATGGACCTGGACAGAAGGTGGTGCCACTTTCTGCAGGGGCGACACGGGAGATGTTTGGGTGGCAAAGATGCTGAGTCCAGCTTTAGGGACACTGAGTTGGACGAGCCTGGGAGACAGTCATGTGGGGAGAACAGAAAATTGGGTTAAGGACGTGTAGGACTCACTTAGTAGGGATGTATACAAACATGGGATTCTTGGCACAAGATGGAAGCTGGAGCCATGAGATGAATGAGCTTGCCCAGGGAGAGGGTGCCCAATGAAAAAGAGCCCCTGAGGAACCCAACACTGAATGCGCTGCAGTGTGTTGTTTAGAAGTTGAAGAGAGGACTCTAGTGCAGGATCCTCAGAGTGGGGCCGAGAATCAGCATTTTTAATAAGCTCCCCAGTGGTTCCACCGCAAGCAGCAGGTCACCTTGGAGAAACACTCATTCCAGTTTGCATACAAATTACCATAGGTAGACCCTTAACACTTGTTGTTTTTTAGTAACTTAATATATCTTGGCAATTTTTCCTTATCATTACATATAAAATTTCTTTATTCTTTCACTTTTTTTAATCATTGTATCGAATTCCATAATTTAAGCTACTGTTTATGGACATTCAACTTACTACCTTTTTCTTTTCTTTCTTTTCCTATTATAAACAATGGAACGATGAACACCTGCTTGTTCTTCCAGAAGTTTGGCTTCTTTTCCTTCTTAGTGTTAAGAGTTCTATGTACAGTAGATATTTAGCCCTTTGTCATATGTATAAGTATTTTTCTTAGCTTTTTGTCTTTGGAGTTTATTTTGTTTTTGTAACTACATTAGTTTGGGGTTTGTTTGTTTTTTAAGATTTATACAGCCAAACGTATTTAACTCTTTCCTTAGGTTTGTGGCACACTTAAGAAGGACGGCTGCCCCCTAACATTGCCTGAGTTTTTAAAGAACCAAGCATTGTACATTCTGTCATTCCCTCCTGGATCAACGACACCTCTGTCACTTGGATGGATGGGTAAGTTCTGTCCAAGTGAGTGGCAGGAAACAGAGCAGGCTATCTGGTTGTTCAGGGTTACCATGCCACTTTATTAGTAGTCAGTATCTGTGTCATCTTTGACAACAGTAATACTTCGACAAGCCATTTATGTATTTTTGTTTGATAAGAAGATAATTGATAAACCACCAGGGGACACTACTGATGTTCCCCATATATGAACATGTGCCTTTGAAACTAACACCTCGTTATTTCAGGGCTTGAGGGCAATAGAAAATGAGTACGGCAACCCAGAACAAGTGTAAATCCCATGATCCATTTCCAGGAATTTATCCTAAATCATCACTGAACAAGTGGAGGAAAGTGTATAAACAGAGATGAGTATTTTGTAGTAGTAAAAAATTGTGAACCATGTAGGTACCCAATAGGGAGTGACAGACTGAGTGCAAGAGGCAGGAGGGCCAAGGGGGCCGGACTTGTGCCTGTGCAGGTGCAAGCGCAACTCTGTCCCTTGTTAGCTGAATGACCTGAGCTCATGAGGACCTGCTGAGTCAGACTGTGCAGTTGATCAAAATCCCCCTGCAAGCCATAAGCAGTCTGCAATGTTCTTCAATAGTTCCCCTAAATCGCCTTCCTCAGTATTTGCTATGCTCCCTGTGAAGCAGGCTGTGGGGAAATCAGAACTCTGCATTTTACTTTAGTTTTTCCTGCCCAGATGCCTGGAGAACAAGCTGTATGAGTATTACACTTTGGGGAAGTAATAACTGACTGTTTACAAGATACACTGTACTATACTATAAAAATGTTGTAAAATAATTACATGGAATAAGTCAGATAAGTACTTAAAGACTTTATTATATGCTTATGTCTAATTGAAATCCACAGAAACAGTTACATTGAATGCATTCTTTATGCACTATACTTGAAAATATAAAATACAAAACCAATTCAAATACTTCTCATATTAAACTTTTTTTTAGTTTTCTTTGACACAATAATAAAATGGAACAAAAAGGATACAAACAGAAAAGCATTAGGTAAAATATTTAAAACCTTTTACTTTACCTATCATATTTAATATTTCCAAGACAATTCTGCCATAAAGGATCAAATGCATCGCACTCAAAGATGTGCGCTCACCAGCCCTCTGAAAACAGGAGACCACTAGCAGTACAGCTCTGCAAAGCCCTCTAGGCCCCGCTGTCCCCGAGGCCACTGAGTCCACAGGCTGCCTGAAGGTCATGGCGATTCAACAGGACCAGTAGGATGCTCAGACAGAGGGAAGGTGAAGTTAGGACGGGGGGTGGTCCTCCCCTCGGAGGCTTCGGTATTTAGCCATGTCTTCTGGAAATACTTTAGAAAGTTCTTGAATCAACAGGCTTTTAAATTTCTAAGAAGAAAAATGTCACTGTCAAATAGTCTTGTTTGTGACCCATCACCCAAGTTAAAGACTAC